CCACGGCCCCTCCGCACCAGCCTCCTCTCAGGGGCTCCCCCGCCCATTCTCCGCCCACCAGCCCCACCCAGCCCCACCCAGCCCCTCGGGCTCCTCCTCTGCTCTCCAGTCCCCTCACGTCCCACATGTGGTCCCCCAGCAAGCCCCGGGGGCTCTTCCTGCACGACGTGTCCCAGGGCCACCATTTCTCCCCACCAGCACTGGCCCAGAGGGCTCAGGCCACCAGCACCTCTCCCAGGGCTCCCCACGAGGTCCCCTGACGGGCCTCCCTGATTCTGACCTCGCCCCGTTGGGTCTGTGTCACCCCAGCAGGGGTCCTGCTGGAGACCTGGGGGTCCTTTTGTGAGTGCCTGCCTTGCCCCTGCTCAAGTGTCCCTCTCCCTCTTCCTCCTCCTGCCCCTTCGGGGTGGGGTTGGGGGGCTCCCCCCGCAGCTCCGCAATCCCAGGCTGCCTTGCATGGAAGGTGACGTCCAGCTTTTTGAGTTTCCTTAGTATAATGCCATCCCTTCACCACAGTGATTGGTTCAGGTCCCAGAGGTAACCGGGCCTAAGCCAATCGCGTGGGTGCTCATCAAGCCACAGCGAGCAGTTCAGGCCAGTCCAGGCGGTGTGACGGACTGCTGGACTTCGCCTGGAAATTGGGGAAGGAAAAGGCTCTGCTCTCTCTATTCCTCTTCCCGCACCTGGACAAGGAGCCTGGCACGCCAGGGACACCCGGCGGACACCCTGTGACCACAAAGAGATCTAGTCTTAGGCTGCAGCAGAAGTGGCACAGAACTAGGTCTCTGGTGACAGTGCAGAGCCCCTGGATCAAACCCACCCTGACTGAGGATTGCCCTGTCTGTGGCCTTTCTCATTAAGTGCACCAATAAATTCCCCTCTTGTTTAATCTAGTTCCAACTTTCTGTTTCTTACAGCGTGTCACATGATGAAGTATCCTCATTCCTTTTAAACAAAGTGCAAAGCGTTTCTCTCCTGACAGCACTTGCAGAAAAAACCCCGGGAAGACCTCTCCTGGCTAGTCCTGGGACACACACATGGCCGGTCCGGGGACCAGGGGAAGTCGGACAGACCCAAACCTTCTCTTCCCCGAAGTTAGGACAGCCAGCTTCACCCCAGTTTTGCCCCCGAGAACCATGAAGCCAGCGAACACGGGTTAGTGTTAACGGGGACCCTCGCCCAGTGCCACTGTGCCACGGAAGGCCGGAGCCGGGAGGCTGTTTGCTCACCGCGGTGTCCCCAGGGCTTGGTGCTGCGCCCGGCGCACAGGAGGCGCTGTCCCCATCCATCTGAAGGAATGAATGACCTCAGCTTCTTTCTGCCATCACCCACGCAACTGCCTTTTCCCCACAAAGGCCGTCCGACTCCCACAGCGCGCTTGTGTGGTGTTATTTAGCGCTTCCTCGCTCCCAGGGGACTTGGGTTGGTGAGAAAGCCAAGGGCACTGTGGTGCTGACCTTGAACATACCCTTGCGTATGAGCCTGAGGCTGCGAATGGAGCGGGAACGGGGCCTGTTTCTCTTCTTCCCATCAGTGCACTCGGTGGGTTGCGTCCAGAGCTTTGTGCCAGGTTCTCTCTCCCGCTTGTGGAATGTAAACATCTCTATTTGATCATCAGTGCAAGGCCAGCCTCTCAGGAAAGAGGGACAATGGGCAGCTTTTCTGTTGTAAAAAGCACTTTGGACCCAAAGGGAGAGAAAACACCCCCTGCGGGTGCCTGGCTGGCGAGTAATTTCTTGGTATAAAGACACGTCGGGGGCGGTGGGGGGAGGGGGAGCTGCTCTCCTCGAGCCTGTGTTTTGTGCGGAGCGCATACACATTCCACACCACCGCCCGGCGATGTAAACCCCGCACAGTAAAGCGATAACACAGAAGACGGTGGCCACAAGAATGCAGGTGCGCCGCCGGTCCCCGGAAAAGGAGAAGGGCACGGAAAGGCACGGTGACCCCCAGGCAGGCTCCCTTCCGGGCTCGCTCTTCTGGGTCCCCCCAAACACGGGCGATCAGCAGCCCACCAGTCGGCCACTTCCCTTTGTCGCTGCGACAATGACTCCTTGCATTCCGGGCGCTTTGCCGTGGGAGGGAGAGAAGAAAGGTGCAAGGCGAGGCAATGGCATCTGAGTGGCGTTCCTCCCAGCGTTATTAAATTTCCTCTCGCCAGTGTTTACAAAGCGGGAGAGCAGTGGTACCCCCCCTCCCCCAGCAGCAGCCTCCACATTAACAGGTGCCAGGGGGCCGGGGGAGGGGGGACAGCTGCAGGGAGGGAGGGGATGCAGAACCCGCTCCACCCCGGGTCTGGGGCTTCTCGCTCTTTTTCTCCCAAATTAACTCCCCCGGCCAGTGGCTTGAGCCCAGACTTCGTCTGCTTTGAACGCGACTAAAACCACGAAACCGAAACTTCCCAGCTAAGTGTGGGTGTGACCGCAGCGTGAGCCGAAGATGTCCAGGAGATCACGTTCTGACCCTCCCTCAGGGGCTGGGGCCCGGGACCCCACGAGGAACCCTGGCCCGTGTCAAGAGTGAGTGCATTTGGTGGTTTGCGCCAACAGCCAACCGAGCCCAGCCCGTGCCTCCTCTGCGGTGCTTTTGGGAGAGTTTGGACCTAGTTCTTTCTGGAAGCTCTTTGATTTGCAGCTGGGCAGGCCACACCCTTGGTGCCCTATTTGACACCAGGGTGGGACTCTGGTCCTGGACTCTGGCCCCTTGCACCTTTACATTTTTTTAACTTATTGATTGTTAGAGGATGGGAGAGACAGAGTGAGACTGATTTGTTGTTCCACTTACTGATGCATTCATTGGCTGATTCTTGCATATGCCCTGACCGGGGATCCAACCCACAGCCTTGGTGCACGGGGATGATGCTCCAACCAACTGAGCTACCCGGCTGGGGCCCAAGCTCCCTGCACCTTTCAAACATCCTCACTAGTCTCTCTGCCCAAAGTAGTCAGACAACAGGTCGACTCAGCCTGCTTTACAACCGGGGCATAGACGGGACTTAGGCTCCACCATTGTGACACTCCCCCAGCGGCGGGGAGGGGGTGGGGGGCGCAGCCCTGGAATTTGTTACACTGGAGATGGCAGCTGCGTGATGTTTGGCGAGGGCCCCGGGGGCGGGGGTGCCATGTGGACGCTGCAGTGGCTGGAAGGTTGGGCACAGGGGCTGTGATTGACATCAGTGCTGGTGGCAGCAGCAGGTCTGGTCCAGTGCAACTGGCGCATCTGCGGAGGGAGCATCCCTGTGGGGTGGGAGCATCTCCAGGCAGCGGGAGCATCCTGTGGGGTGGGCGGATCTCTGGGGTGGGAGCATCCCTGTGCGGTGGGAGCATCCCTGTGGGGTGGGAGCATCTCAGTGCAGTGGGAGCATCCCTGGGCAGTGGGAGAATCCCCATTTCCCCACAGGCCTGTCCTGTGGGGTGGGCTGAGGCATTGTCCCCAGAAGTGACGCCTCCAGGGATGCTCTCTCGCGTCCTGACGGCCCTAGGAGTCCCCACCATCCTTTAATAAGCTCCTTCGCTGAGTAACCGGCTGGGACCTGCTTCCGTGGCTTGCAAATAAGAGCCCTGCCTGACGCTGTGGCCTCCTTTTTTTAATATTACCCGGCCCCTCCCCCCTTCCACACACAGGCCGGCACAAATCCCCACAGCGTGGAGAGAAATGTCAGCATGAGAAATTCCTCTGGCGACGATGCCGCCGATACTTGACAGTTTCACAGCGTTTCACAGCCTGGTTAAGTAGTCTGAGCTCTCTGCAAACACATCCCGGCGAGCACAAGGGTTCTCGCCAGCGAAACCTTCAGTTCATTACTACGCCATGGTCACCTCCAGGTCAAAACCCATCAGGGACTTGTTTGCCCAACACGCCGTCACCTGTGCTGAGCTCCTTCATCAGATGCCCGCTGTCTGGGAGTTCTTGATCTCACGGCTGGCCCCGGCTGGCCCCGTGCGGTCCGCATAGTGCAGCGGACAAGCAGAGAAATATCACTAGTTACAGAATTTTATATCCGGAAAGATCCTTCCTACAGCTAGAGGTACTGAGGATGGGGCCATTGCCCACTGCCACACCACAGGTGAGTGACCGATTCGGGAGGAGAACCCAGGGTCCTGGCACTGCCCTGGCGGGGCGGGCTAGCCACACCAAACATGTAAACATGTATTAGTCAGGTCAAGCCAGGTTGTGCTGCAATAACAAACACCCGCCAGTCGCAGGGCCTTACACTGAGTGCAGTCTCCTCACTCAGACCTGTCTGCAGCCCCCCACTCCCCTCTGGCCAGAGCAGTCCCGTCTGGAATGTGGCTCCACAGAGGGAAGAGTTCTGGAGGGCCTCTGCGTGGCACGAACGCTCCAGCTCCAAAGGACCCGCGGTCCTTTCTGCTCAGAACTCACTGGCCAGAGCTGGCCACAGGGCCCCACGAACCCCGAGGGGACCAGGAAGAGCAGAGCACCGTGACTTTAGGGGCTCACCTAGAATCTCGTTGCTCTGCCGCCCTGGCTGATGTCCTGCGCCCACAGCCTCCCCACACCTCCCAGAATCCCCAAGGCTGCCGCCCACCAGGGCACTGCTGGACGCTCCTGGAGCTCAGGGCCACGGCCCCCATGCAGGGGGCAGGCCACACCCCCTGAGGGACAGGGCGCAGACCGGTGAACTTGACTCCTCCAGGGCCTCATGTCAGTGGGACCCCATGGCATTTGCCTCCTTCGTGACCGGCGTATTTCACTGGGCGTAACATCCTCAGGATTCACCCACATAGTCGCGCGCGTCAGAACTTCCGTCCTTTTCAGCGCTGAGTCGTGCTCCGTCGCGTGGACAGACCACACTCTGCTGGCCCGTTCGTTCACCTGCTGACGGACAGCTGGGCTGCCGCCACCTCTGGCCCGGAAATAGAGATGCACACGGCGGACAAGCATCTGTTTGAGCCTCTGCCGCCGCCGGTTCCTTTGGGGTACATTCGGTTCTTTTCTTTTCAATTTTATTTATTTTTAGAGAGAGGAAGGGAGGGAGAGAAACACCAGTCAGCTGCCTCTCACGCACCCCTAACTGGGGACCTGGCCCGCCACCCAGGCACGTACTCTGGCTGGGAATCGAACCAGTGACCTTTTGGTTTGCAGAGCCACACTGCCCAGGGCCAGCTCTTTTTAATTATAGGTCAAGTACCACTGTCACGGTCAAATGGGAAACAAGCAGCGAGTCAAAACCTGACAGGGTGCACCCTTGGCTCACCCAGTGCCCAGCCTTTCTCCCCTATACCAGTCTCCCCCTCCTCCTCCTCCTCCTCTGGGCTCCCTCTGCGGCGGGCAGCCCCCCGCCTGGCAGGGACCCCCCAGCGCACCTGTGCTCCCACCAGCGATTCCTGGGCCACCGCCGCCCAGCAGCACCTCCCTTCCCAGAGACTTGTATCAGTGGGAGCAAAGAACACCCCTGGGCCCGAGGGCATCTTGGGGTACCCACATACACCCCCAAACAAATGTTAACTCTGAGGTGGTGCAGTCCAGGGCAACTTCAATGCCGCCCCTCCACAGCGGGGCGAGGCCCCAGGGACCTGGCTGGGCTCCTGCTGGCTTGTGGCCTCCTCTGGCTTCCGGGGCGGGCCTGGGGGCCAGTTGCCCAAGGAATGGGTCCACCACCCACCAGAGGGCCACGGGAGGGAGCTGTGTCCCCCGAAGCCCCCACCACCCCCGCCCAGTGTGGTTGTGTTTGGAGATGGGTCCCTAAGTAAGTTTCAACCAGGTCATAGGGCAGGCCCAACAGACGAGATGTGTCCTGATGGGAGGCACCCTCTCCACAGTGAGGATGTGAGAAAAGGTGGCCATCGGTGACCTGCGGGGTCAGCTGGCACTCAGAGGAGGACTCTCTGGGCCAGCAGACGGGAGGTGACCTTCCGGTGTAAGAGGCACAGGCAGGGGTATGTCTGAGGGACAAGACTGAGGAGCCCAGACCTCGGCAAATGCACGGGTGCCACAGGGGGACAGGCCAGGGAGCCTCCCCGTTGGGCCTGGGTCCCCGAGCCGGGGAGGGTGCTGCCTGCCGGGTGGTAAGAGCAGGTGTCGCTGGTCCCTCGCCAGGCGGGTCTCTCCAGCAGGATTATGGCAGGGGACCAGGTAGCTCTGTCCCCCTTCCAAGCTCTTGAGCTTTGCCGTTGGGGACAAAGGCAGGGCCCGTCCCCTTTGTGTGGGCCAATGGTCTGCACCCGGCCTCTACCCTATGGTCCCCGCAGCTCCTGAGAGGCTGTCGGGTCCCCTGGCCCCTCCCTCCAGGTCTCTGGGCCCCTCGGACAGGGTGGGACAGAGAAAGTGGGCAACAGGGACCAGCCCCTCCAAGAGCAGGGCGGGGAGGCCCCAGCAAGGGGAGGCGGGGCAGGACACACTCGGGAGCAGGGCTGACGAGGTTTATTCCCCCCTCTTCCTGCCCGCGGCCACCCTGGCCCAGTGAGGGCAGGCGGCTCCCAGGGTCCGGGACAGAGTCACCCACAGGTCGTGCTGTGGCGAGCGGGGAGGGACGGCTGTGTCCGAGGGTCATTCTGGGGGCCTGGCCGGATGCCAGGTTCACAGTCTCCGGGGGTGTGGCTGGGCGGCCTGGTGGGCGGGGCGAGTGGCGGCGGCCCTTCCGAGCACGTGAGGCCAACCTGCGTGCTGGGAGCCCCGCGGGCGGCAGGTGAAGACGCCGGGGTCGACGCCCCGGAGTGGGGCTCGGGCTGGTGAGAATGGTTTCTCCAACCCAGGGCTGGGGGACAGCCGCAGTGGACGGGGCTGGCCGGGACGGAGTAAAAAACGCACGCGCACGCACACACGCGCACGCGCACGCACACACAGGCTCGCACTCGGGCTCGGTAAAAACTCCAGGACCTCACACGACGCTCTGGCGCCCCCTGTCCCCCTCCAGCTCGGAGGCGCCGGGCCCGCTGCGCCGGCCAAAGTCAATGAAGATGCCCTCGGAGTCCGAGTCCACGGACTCCAGGACCCGGTCCACCAGGTTCTCGGGGCTGGAGGAGGGCGGGGAGCCGCAGGCCGGGCCGGCCCCGGGCGACTGCGTGCGGTCCGAGTACAGTCTGCTGGGGCAGGGCCCCGGCTGCAGGCCCGCGGAGGGCTCGAAGTCCCCGGCGGGGCCCTGGCCGGGCGCGTCCGGGCAGGACGTCATCTCGGAGACCGAGTGCCTGCGGATGCTGGCGCCTCCGGCCGCCGCGCCCTCCGCCTCGTGCTCCGCCACGGGGTTCAGCAGCGGCGTGTTGTAGCTCTTGGAGCGCACCACCGGGTTCTTGGCCAGGATGTCCCCCGAGCGGGAGCGGCGCAGGAAGTGCTTCTCTGCGGAGACAGACAGGCAGACGGACAGGCGTCAGGCGCCGGAGGCCAGGGGACGCGGCAACCCCGGGCACCTGGGGGTTCCAGGCCCTTTCCTCCACCGGGTGCCCGGCGGCTCCCGCTGGGAGCACAGACTGGGCCCCCGGCTCTGCTCCAAGGGCGGCCGCAGGAAAGGCCGGACTGGGGCAGACCCCGGGCCAGCCCCACCGAAGCAGCCGCAGGGGCGGCTTGGTCTGGGGGGAAGAGGGTGCAGATTCCCCGCCCCCCCCGCCCCCCAAGCTGTCTCCTCGGACCCTGCCTCTGAGACAGGAGAGGCGGTGAGGGGGCAGACACGTCCGCTGGGGGGCGGCTAAGCCAGCTCTGGATTGGCAGCTGCTAGAGCCTGTACCCATCCCCCCCCAAACCAGCAAATACCAGCACATGCTCTGCACCAGCACCTCCCTGGGCAGACTCAGAGACTCAGCCCTGTCTGTCCTCGGAGCTGGAGTCACAAAGCGTGTGTGTGTGTGCTGGGGGAGAGCTGGGGGTGGGGAGGGACCAGACGACAAACGCACATGGGTGGTCCGCGAGTCGGTAGCGGTAAGTGCCAGGGTGGGGACGGACAACGAGGGGCCCGTCAGTGTGAGGTCAGGGCTGGGTCTTTCATTCTGAGTGTCGTGGGGGCCCTGCCATCATCAGCGACGGTGTCGGCTCCGGGGTCTCCTGCAGCCCAGCAGTGGGCCGGGTGCGTGGGCCCAGTGGCTACCACTCCCACCCAAGGCCTGGGCCGCCCTACCTAGGATGCAGGAGTGCGAGAAGGAGCCCTCGCCGGAGTAGAGGCCGTAGGTGCCCAGGTAGGGCGACACCACCTTCTGGATCAGCGTCTCCAGGCGCAGGTAGTCCTTGGTCACACCCCGGGACTCGTGCACGCCCTGCGGGACGGAGAGGGAGCGGCGGGAGGGTCACTGCGTGGCACGGTCCCCGATTCCCTCGCCCAGAGGGCTTAGCTCGAAGCCACCATGCCCGCCCCGTCCAGCTCCCACTTCCACGGGGCCCGGGCCCTGAGGACAGCGCCTGCCAAGCCCTGCCCCCAGCTGTCTCTCGAGCTGGGGCCTCGTAGCCTCTCTCCTGCTTTGACACCCCCTGTGGCTGCCCACTGCCCACGGCCCGCAGCAGCTGTGGGTCAGGGGGCCCATGTGGCCCTGTGGGGAAGGACACTGTAGCCGAGTGAGGTCGGGCTGTCTTCAATCAGCCCCTCGGGAGAGGGTCCTGGGCGTCGGTTTCCTAGAGGCTCTGGAAGCCCCCTGCAGGGGCAAGCTCACCCACCCAGGGCCCCTGCCAGCCCCCCCTCGCCTGTGGGGCGCGGCAGGCAGGCAGGCAGGCAGGCAGGCAGGCAGGCAGGGCTGCCCACGGGGCCAGGCCCGGGGTCCGGGACTCAACAGCATTTTGGCGAGTGCTTGCTGAAGACTGATGGATGAATGAATGAATGAATGAATGAATGAATGAAAGACACCACTCCTAAAGTAGCTGCCAGTCGGTAGAGGACAAGGCAGAATTAGGATAATGACATTGAACAACAGCGCGAGACAAAGAGAGAACCCCACTCCACGCTGCGTCGAGAAACCCGTTAGACTGTGAAGACACTGTAGATGGAAAGGAAAGTGAGGAGAAAGCCACGCCGGGCTCTCGCTGACCCCGGAACAGGGTGCGAGTGGCTGTGTTCATTTCAGACAGGGCAGACTGCAGACCAAGGAAGCCCCAGGGGCAAAGAAGGTCATGGCAGAAGGACGAAGGGGTCCATTCTCCAAGATGCGATAGGGGTCCTTTGCACGCATGCACCTAACGACAGAGCGCCACCTATGGGAGGAATCTAGAAGTGCAGGGAGAGACACAGATCCGGTCCCACAGCCGAGACTCCAACGTACCCCCTCGCAACTGCAGCGCCGGTGGTGGGCGGTCGCAGGGGCCAGGCTGAACGGAACAGCACCAGCGGCCAGCCGTCTGTGGCCGTCTAGCCCCCCCCCCCCCGCCACGAGGGGAAGCACACCCACCCTCCTCGCGCTCACGCGGCACCTCGGCCGAACAGACCGCACTCCGGGCCGCGGAGCACACCCTCGGGTGTCTGCTCTCAGGCCGCACCGAAGGGAAACCAGGAGTCGGTAACGGGAGACTGGCAAACTCTCAAATAGGAAGAGACCAAACAACTCACGTGTAAACGACACAGGAGTGGAAGGAGAGATCTCAGGAAGACTCATGTAAAAGACCTGGCACTCCATGAGAGTGAACACCTAACGGTCAAATTCACGGACGACACTGGAAACGGCCCTCCGAGGGGCATTTACGGCATCGAACGGACACGTCAGAAAAGGAAAAGCTCACCCTGGCTGGCGTAGCTCAGTGGATTGAGCTCGGGCTGCGAACCAAAGTGTCGCAGGTTCGATTCCCAGTCAGGGCACATGCCTGGGTTGCAGGCCATGACCCCCAGCAACCGCACACTGATGTTTCTCTCTCTCTCTCCCTCCCTTCCCTCTCTAAAAATAAGTAAATAAAATCTTTAAAAATAAAAAACTTAAGTCAAGAGAAAAGCTTGTGGGGAGGGGTGGGGCGAAAAGGCAGAACACTGTACCTGAACAACAATAAAGAAAATAAATATTTTTTAAAAATCACTAAAATAACGTGGTTACTCAGGTTGACTGAATTACTATATCCAGAATTGTGTAGGAAAAAAAAAAAGGAAAAGCTCAACAATGGACACTCTAAGCTGCCAGCTTACGGAACCACGCAAAGAAGGGCGAATCGAGTCTGGCGTAAGCAGAGGGAGAACACCCATCAGAGCAGAGATGAATGAGACGGAAAACAGGAGGTGAGAGAGAGAGAAAACCCGGCAAGACCAAAAGCTGGTCCTTGGAAGAGAGCAGTAGGATCACGGAGCCTCTAGCCAGGCGGACGGAGGGGAGAGAGAAGACGCACGTCCCTCGGAAACGAGAAGGGACATCACTACAGACCCCGTGGGCCCACCCGGCTGTGTGTGGACGAGGAGGGGCTGGGATCCCACGGGTGCCCGCCCCCCCCAGGACCCTTGATGCCCCTGGAGCTGTCTCCGCCCCTGGCAGCGGTGCACCCAGGTGACAAGGGCAGCGCGGAGCTGTGCTGGGCCTCCGGGAACCTCACTGTCACTGCATCCCCAGAACTCGTTCGGGCAGCCTGCTGTCTGCTCCCCCGGGCAGAGAGGACGCGGGCCCGGGGATGCACTGTTTGTGTGCCCTCTGCTGCGTGGCTGTCCCCGTGGTTTCTGGGACCCCGTGAGAAGGAACCGTGCCTCTCTGGACGAAGCACAGGGCACACAGGAGGTCCTCAGCACATGCCGACCGGCGGCTGTGAATTCAAATCCATTTGGGACATGAAAACAGTAGGGGCGAGTTTCTTGGGGAGCCGGGACAAGGTCCCTCAACGTGGGGGCCAAAGTGGGGTGGGCACTGGCAACACGCTGTGGTTTGGAGTCACGCCCACAGTCTGGGTGGCGGAGCGGCCCAGCCCAGAAAGCTGTACCAGGTGGTGGCCACCAGGGGGCAGCATCGCCCCAGCCTGGCCGCCAGCGGGGATGGGGCTCCAGGGATCTGGCGCAACCTTAATATTCCTGGTTCTAAACCCTAGCCCTGGGGCCGCCTGCTCCTGGGAGGGCTTTATAGCAATTTCTCTCCATTCCCCTTGGCCCTGCCCCCGCCAGGCAGGGGGCCTTTCTGCACCACGCAAGGAGACAAGAGGCCCAGGGGCAGAGTCCCTCAAAGCCCCCGGCTGCAACCCAGCCGGGAGCCACCGAAAAGCCCTTACAATCCCTGCCTGCAGGCCCGGCGCCCCCAAAGCTGCCAGATGACCACAGGCCTGAGCGGCGCGACCCCTGACCCTCCACATTCACCGGCCCTTCCTTGCTCTGGAAACTTCGCCAGCTGCCCTGGACCCCTGACCAAACTCACAGACCCTCCCTAAATTGTCAGGATTTCTGCGTGGATGAGAAATTCGGGGCGACAGGCAGGGCTCTGGGGGCGGCCAGGCTCGCCCATGGGTGAGGCCAGACTCCTGGCTGACCCCCATGGGTGAGGCTGACGGTGCCCCCCTGGGCCCTGTGAGGTGAGGCCAGCCAGCACACCGAGGAGCCCTGTGCCTGCCCCAGGGCTCAGGATGCGCCAAAGGGGCCAGTCTGCAGCAGGGGCTGCTGGCGGCCCATCAGACGCCCCGCCTGGGCCAGCCGGGAGGACGGTGGCTAACAGCCTGCCGCTGTCCCTGCCCCAGAGCTGCCCTCTGGGACGCCAGCCGTCCGTGCCATACATGTCGGAGCCACTGTGGGGCGTTGGGGGAGGCACCCTCCGCCCCCATGACTGACCGACCGGGCTGTGAAGGCCCAGCCCCGTGCCCACGACACAGAGCTCTGGTTCCGATCTCGCGGCTGCTGGGCCACCGCGGGCGGGACCAGGCGGAGGCCCGCCTTCTCCCGAGCCCAGGCCTCTGCACGGCTCCTCCCGACAGCGTCCCCGCTGAGACACACGCGGACCCACGCCCCCCTCTCGGGCCCCGCCCCTGGGAGCCCGGCCCATGCGCACCTGCAGCACCAGCAGCATCTGCACGATGGCGGGAGGCACGCGGGCGTGGGCGCGGGCCAGCGCCTCCTCCAGCTTCACGCTGAGGGTGATGGTGTTCCGGAAGTGCAGCAGGGCCAGCTGGCGCACCGACGGCTCCTTGCCCTGCGGACGCACAGCACCGTGGTCGCGGGGTGCCCGCCGACCCGCAGGCGAGGCCAGGGTCACGGTCCCACGCATAGCGCCTACTCTGCGCTGGGCACGGCCTACTGTGTGCTGCTCGGGCTTTCCGGGGCCCTCCGGAGGGAGCTGGCTTTATTTCCATCTCATGGGTGGGAATGGGTTCTGAGAGGTCCAGGGACCACGTGTCTGGTCTTGTCACGGGTGCAGACAGCTGTTGCCAGCACTGAGGGCCAGAAGGGCGTGTCCACCCCAGACTGGGCAGCGGAGGGGGTGAGTGAGGTCGTGGCCTGGTGGGGGGGTGCTCACCTGCACGGGGTAGAAGACGGCCTGCAGCGTGGGCAGCACGTCGCTGAAGAAGAAGTCCCACGTCTCCGCCAGCGAGTCCAGCAGCTTCTGTCCTGTGGGCACAGGGGGCCGTCACTGCCCGTCTCCAACGGGCTCAGCGGACACTTCCCACCCTCCCAGGTCAGAAGTCCCCTCTCCGGTCCGAAGGAGGTGCAGGAGGTGCCGGGGCCAAGGGCTTGAGTCCAGGCCTTGGAGGCACCCCCGAGGTCAAGGGCACAGAGCCCTTGGCAGCTGGGTGGCCCCAGGCCCACTGCTTAGCCTTTCTGTGCCTCAGCTTCCCCATTAGTAAAAGGGGACAGGAGCAGGCCCATGTCCCAGAGCCCACACAGGGCTTGGGGCAGAGGAGTGAGACTGTGCGTGGGCTGCTGGTCCCAGCCCCGCCCCCACAGGCCCAGCAGGCGTGTCCCCCCCCCCCAAAGGAGCATCCCCTCTGTCCTTGTCTCATCCGCCGACTCACCTCACCCACCACCCTGGAGCGAGGCATCCGTCCGCCGACCCACCCTGTGCCGGGCCTGACACCGGGGCCCCTGCTGAGCCCCACACAGTCCAATCCCACTGTGTGTCACGGAGCAGGGCACGGAACAGCAAGTGTGAGGACGGTGGCAAGGGGCGACCTCTCTGGGCCAGCGAAGGGTTGGAGCCTGTGAGAGGCGCAGGCCTCCTCCTCCAGGGCCTGGGGCCCCGCCACCCGAGGCCGCCTGAGGCGGGATCGGAGGAGCCAGGAAGGCCATGTGCCACCATGGCAACGGGTAGAAGAGGGGTAGAGAAGGTGGAGAGAGTCAGGCAGGGAGGGCTTCCTGGAGGAGGCGCCACCTGTGCTGATTTGGGATGGTTTGCCAGGTTGAATGACGTCCCTGGTGTGTGACCCACAAAAACAGGTGTGTGGACAGCAGGCAGTTGGGCAAGCTCTGCAGTCACTTCTGCCTGCCCCGGGAAGGAGGGGTGCTGTCCTCGGGGCTGGGGACAGCTGAGGGGCCCTCAGGCTGGCTCTGGGATCCCTCAGGAAGTGCCAAGTGCCGAACCCCCAGCCCTTCCACTGGGAGGAGCAAAAGGGTGAAGGGCTGCCGGGCCAGGAGGAGCGGACCCCGCCGGGAAGCCAGACTGCTGTCAGCAGGGGCGTGGTGGGCGGCTCCGAGTGGGGAGGGGGAGGGGGAGGGGGAGGGGGCGTGCCCCTCGCTGGCCGCTCTCCCAGACTGCACTGCTCAATGCCGGCGGTTTCCATGGGAACGAGAGGGCCAGACAAGAGCCTTGGCCTCTCTTCTCCTCACTTTGCTTGGGCTCCGGGCCCCACGGCCTCCACCCTGCAAAGCCCCAGGTCTGTGTAGGTCCTGGGGCTCTGGGAGGGGAGCCTGGCGAGGCAGTCTGGGAGGTGCAGTGCAGCCTGGCTGGCGGTTTGCGGGGGGGCGGGGGGGTGTCTGGCTTCTGTGCTCGGCCGTCGGCTGGCACTGGGGCTCCCTGCCCAGCGGCCAACTCCCGGTCCTCCCTGGGGCCCACACCTGGGTCTGCGGCGGGACAGGCGGGCACTTGCTGCCCCAGGGGCTCTGTCCGAGCACAAAGGTCCCTTCAGGGCCCCGCCGCTGCCGGCAAGAAGAAAGGCAGTTCAGTTCCCTCGGCCAGCCGTGGGGTGGCCCTGGGCGCGGGCCAGGCCGGTGTCCGCTGAGCTCAGGCCGCTCTCCAGCCCCCGGCCCGGAAACGCGGCGGAAAGCAGATGTCGAGAAACGCGAAGTCCAAGCCCGGCTGAGCCGCCCGCCGGCCAGGCCCTCTGCGGGGGGCTGTGTCTGGGGGCGCTGCGGGCGTCAGGTGACAGAGTCGGGCCGCACAGCCTCGCTGGGGGTCCCCAGGGGAGGCCCGCGCCCCGGGCCTCAGTCTGGCTCTCTGTAAAAGGGGTGCGATGACCGTCCCTCGCAGGCAGGGCTAAAGGCGGCCGTGCGGCCGGTGCTCCGGAGGTGCCGGCTGGTGTCCCGGTGACCGGGGGGCCGCGTCCTGCTGACGGACGGTCAGCAGGGTTCAGGCGGCGGCTGAGGCCGGGCCGGTCCTCCTTGTCCGAGTTCTGAGGGCCGACCGTGGGGCCTGGAGACCAGAGCGAATGCATGGCGGTGGCTCAGGTCTCGGCCGGTCTCGGGGGGCCCCTAGGGACAGTGGGGACCGCAGGGCCTGGCTGCGGCGGAGGGGGTCAGCCGTCCGTCATGCTGAGGGCACCAAACTGCAGCCTCAGCCACGGTCCCGGAGGAGCCCCCAGCTCTGGGCTGCCGTCCGGGCTCCTCGTGCCCGGGAACCTCTCTGCTTGGCGGCCGACGTGCCAGCTTCGGCGGGGCTGAGGGAGCAGCAGGTGGCAAGGGCCCGGCCACCCTGTGTGGGGGCAGCACCCCGTCCGTCAGAAACACAGGCAAGGGCAAGGTGGGGCGCCCGCAGCCGCCTCAAGGAAGAGGTCTCCCTGGGCCCCAACCAGGGCTGAGAGGCAGGCGGAGAGGCTCCTGGGGCTGCCCTCAGGGTGTGGGTCGGTTTTATTGTTCCAACGGCATGGGCCGTAGAGGACCAGACATCGTCCTGGACGGACTGCATTTGAAACCTCTACTCGAGGGCCACTGCCTCCACGCAGCCCTCCCTGACTGCCTGTGCGGAATCAGTCCATTCTCCCCAGGGCTGCCCTGTACCCCGACATTCACCACACTGTACTTTCGCCACCTGAGCCTTGCCTATGCCCCCGAACAGCTGTGAGGCCCTGCTGGACAGGGCCTGAGCATGTGGGTGGAGCTCGACCCACCCCACCCCATGGTGCCGAGACGGGGACACCGAGGCCAGAGGGAAATGTCGTGTCTGCGGCTGGATGAGAGTGGGACACCAGGCCCTTGGCCTGTAGCAGCCGGGGGCTCCGGGCCTGTCCCCGAGGCCCAGGGAGTCTGAGCGGGCTGGCACTCCCTGCTGGGTGGCCTGGCAGCCTGCGGCTGTGGGCAGGGCCCCGCCGAGCCGCACAAAGCTCCCCTTCTCCGACGATCCCGGCTCCCCCGGGGCTGGGGTTGGTGGGAGGCACGGGCGCCGCCGGAATGTGCCGAGTCAGGAGAGGGGTGTGGGAGGGCGTCTCCACCAGGTGCCAAGTCCTTGCTGGCCCGTTCTGCGGGCTGAGGTGCAGCCTCCTCCAGGAAGTTGGCCTGGGACCCCTCGTGGCTGTGCCTCCGGCTTAAGGTTCTCAGGCTCCTGCCTCAGGGACTTCCGCACAGAGGGGCACAGAAGGAAGGACCTGCGGCTCCAGGCTCCTCCAGGGCCACCAGGCCACCAGGCCCCAGTCCCCTCCTCTCTGACACAGGCTAACGCGCCTTCTGCACAGGGTCAGGGCGAGGATTCGAGGATGCGACTGGAGCTGCAGAGAACAGCGTGGGCTCAGGAGCCAGGCTGCCACGTGGACTGCGAGTCACTGAACCCCTCTGTGACTCGGTTTCCCCCATGGTCAGTGGCTGCAGCAATGGAATCTCCTTTGCAGGTCGTTGGGAAACTCGGTGAGTTAGCAGAGTCAGGACAGAATCTGGTGGAGTGAGCATGTGCCCAGTGCCCAGTGCCCAGTAGGCGCTCAACAAACATTCACGGAACCTGAACCCAGCACTGGCCCGGCGCACAGTAGGCCCTGAGCACAGGCGCATCTGCTGGAGCGGGGCTCCCGCTGTTTGATGTTTCCCTAAGGAGGCCCACCCTCCAGCTGTGGCCCTAGGGCCCACAGACACGGGGAGCCCGAGGGTGCCAGGACCAGGCCCGTCCTGCTGAGGCTTGGTGCCTACAGGGGAGGGCGGTCCCCTGCTTGCCGAGGCCTGAGGCTAGCACAGAAGCCAGCTGGGACTCCGGGCCAAGAGAAGGGCAAGGAGCGTGTGCTCTGGCGTCAGGATGACCTGGGTTCAAATCCCACCTCCACTCCTTATGTGCACTGTGGTAACGGACAGATCACTTGCCGTCACTGCATCGTCCCCAGCTGTGTAACGGGAACAGTGACCCACGGGGGGTGGGCGTGGGTGTGAAACGAGGGAACCCCTGAGCATGCCTATCAGGGAGCCCCCATCGGCTGCTCCCACCGGGAGGCAGCGACCGGCTCCAGCCTCTTCAAGATACTCCCTGTCAAGCCTCACAGAGCCTGAGGGCGCTCCCAGGCTGCTGGGGACCGTGAGTGGGGCAGGAGCCTTCTCCCCACCACCCCTTGGGCCTCCTGGGCTCCAGCAAGTCAGGGGGCAGACGTTCTCCCCAACGAGGCCCCCTCCGGGGATAGGATCTCTCCCTGCCGTCCCGGAGGCCTCGTTTCTGTCCCTTCCGGGCCCCCCCACCCCGGACCGGGAGAGCCGCACTGCCACGGTCCCCACGAGCACACCTGCTGTGCCTCCGCCCCTGGGACGAGCCGGGACCCCCCGCAGCCACGCCAGTGGGCAGTGCAGCCCGGCACACAGCCCCCACCACGGGGCCGCCGACTCACCCTCGTAGAAGCGGATCTTGTCCCTCAGGATCACCATGCCTTTCGTCAGCAGCTGGTTCTGGAAGGCACAGGCGGAGACGCGGTCACGGCCCTGAGGGTGCCCCCGGGGGCCTGGCAGGCAGGGCTCCCACGGGTCCCCCGCCCGCAGCCAAGGCCCAGCACGGGAGGGGCTTGCTGACACCCCCCCCCCCCGGCCTGCCGCAGAGCCCGAACCTCAGCTCCTCCCGGGGGGACGCTGACAACGGACCCGACCAGGGGTTGTCACCGGACGGAAGGTGGCCACAGGGACGGTCCCGAGAGACGGGCGGCCCCTGCCTGCAGCTGCAGCTGAGCTGGGCGGGCAGGCTGCCCTCCCATCCCACAGCAAGGGAAGGACGCTGAGCCCGCAGGGCCTGTGGCAAGGGCCTGGTTCGGGGACTGCCGCCGTCCCGCGAGGCTCCCACCATGGGGACCCGTGCACGCTGCCCTGGGCGCCGGCCGAGGATGACACCGTGTGGTCTTGGCACCATGCCCAACAACGAAGGGGTGACACGGCCCAGGGCCCACCCACAGACTAAGGAACAAAATGGGGTGCACGTAGATGGGGGGCGTGTCTGGTGGGGGAGGAGCAAAGCCCAGACACCTGCCGCAGGGCGGGTGAGCCTCGAGGACGCTGTGCCCGGCCAAGGCCGCTGGACACGAAAGGCCGGACAGGGCGGGCGTGGCCGAGTCCCTGTGAAATGCCCCGGACAGGAAAGTCCAGAGACAGAACGCTGACTGGTAGTTGCCAGGGGCTGTGCGGGGAGGGGACGGGGGCCGATTGTAAAATGTGGGGTTCCTCCTGGGGGGTGATGAGAGTGTCCTGGAGTTAGCCAGGGGTGAGGGCAGCAAGACTCTGTGGGTATGCCGAGAACCACTGAGCAGAACCCCTTAAACCGCACGGCACGGGGCTCCCCTGGGTTCAGCGGCTCTGCCGACCGGCGGCCCGGAAGGGGACCAGGAGTTACGAGAGCCGCAGCGCCTGGGGCAGAGGGAACTCGGTGATGCCGACACCCCCGGCTCAGGGCACTGGGGCGGTGGGGGACGGGTGGGGGGGCACCCCAGACATAGATGTTGGGGGCCACGCTGACATTCCAGGAGGAGGTGAACCACTACCGACAAAGCCGCCCGAGCCCGCCACACGCCAGGCACAGCACTGAGACAGCACCTGCATCGAATCATTAACGTCCCAACAGGCTGCAGTGCCAGATGGGGAAACCGAGTCACAGGAGGTAGAGTCTTTGCAACCCAGTGCTCCAAATGCCCACCGAGAGCGGGTGACCCCGGTCCTTCTTGCCAGCTCAGAAAGCCACCCCGCCCAGCGAGAGGGCAGGGCCACCCACCTGCAGGCACTCGGTGAAGAAGGGCCCCAGCTCCGTCCTCAGCAGCTGCCTGTGGGGGGGAGGGGAGACGAGAGTGAGGGAGGGTGGGAGTCAGACGCCATCGAGGGGCCCGCCTGGGAGCCAGGGGACCCTGGCCTGTTCAGCCCAACTCGAGGGCCAGCATGTGTCCACCTGTGTGTGCCCGCACTGCCGGAGACGGGTGGGCTGCGCACTTTCACCGTCCACAGCTGCGGGCCCCCGGCAGTGCGCCCCAGGCAGGGCCCCGGGGCCGTGGGAGCGCGTGTCCGCACAAACCGTGCACGCGACCTGCACGCGACCTCACAGCAGCGGGGTCCGTCCATGCAGCCGCTGGGAGGAACCGGCCCGGACGCCCACCGGCGGAGGAGAGGGCACACGGGAGGGCGAGTTTTCTGCGCACCCCCCCTCCGTGGGTGTTCCGAGTGGCCGTGGACAGGGACGCAATCCCGACACCTGCTCCGACGTGGACGGACCCCGAAGGGCTGTGCCCAGTGACGGAAGCGGCCATGAGAGGCCGCGTGCGGACTGAGGGATGCCACCCCTACGAAGCGTCCCGATCCATCTGGGACAGATCCATCTGGACGGACGGACAGACAGGCATCGGCAGGGGCCGGGGGAGGGGAGCAAGGAGGGGTTGGTGATAGGGACAGTCTCCTTGTTGGGGGTGGGGGATGAAAATGTTCTGAAACGAAATAGGGTGGTGGTCGTACAAACTTGGGAATAAACTAGCATGACGAACTGCACATCTTATGACGACGAATTATGTCTCCAAAAAATACACGGACAAAATGGGGGGGCGTGGGGGGGCAAGCGAGGGCCAGACGTCGGCACCCCCTTCCGAGTGAGTCACGGTCGTGGCCCTCCCCGCGCCCGGGCGCTGCCTGCTGTCACCGGCGAGCTTCCGGAGCAGAGCGTTGTGTCGGGTGAGGGCGCGACCCGTGGCTCCAGGCCCAGGCTCTCGAGGGATGGAGCTAATGCCCAATGATAGATTCAATCACAATTAACTTCACTTAATTTAATGTGGCCGCTCGAAGAGCCAGGGCGGGGGAGGCCCTGAAGGACCCGCGGGCCCTGGAGTCAGGGGCCTAGGCCCCGGCTCCACAAGCGACCTATGACCTCTCCGTGCCTCAGTTTCCTCATCTGTCAAACAAGGAGTGGGGCGTCTACTCCTCAGAGGCGCTGTGGAGAGTTTAAGGTGTGTGAGCTCGTGGCACAAGGTTGGCCGAGAGTACACTCTCCAAAGAAAAGCCCGGTTATCTCCCTGGCTGGCGTGTAGCTCAGTGGATTGAGCGCGGGCTGCGAACCAAAGCATCGCAGGTTCGATTCCCAGTCAGGGCACATGCCTGGGTTGCAGGCCACTGCCCCAGTGGGGGCCATGTGAGAGGCAACCACACATTCATGTTCCTTTCCTTCTCTTTCTCCCTCCCTTACCCTCTCTAAAAATAAATAAAATCTTAAAAAAAAAAAAAAAAGCCCAGTTATCAGTACTTAACAATGCCCAGCATTTCAGTTTTTGTGGGGAGCGGGGGTCAGGGGAGGGAGCGAACGCGGTCCCCCCCCACCAAAAGTTACACGGCTGAGTCTCCCACGTTTGGGGAGATCGTGGGGTCAGCGCATCGGGCTGCCGCGGAGAAGCCTCGCCCCGGGAAGGTGGCCTCCGTGGCCGCGGTGTCTCCCCTGCCCGGCGAGTGCGGGCTCTCACCCTGAACTGGCCACAGCGCTGCTGCTGCCCCAGGGAACCTGCCCGGCCGGGAGCTGCACGTCTCGCGTCGACTGCTCTCCACCCGTTTCCCGGGGGAAGGATGCCGGGGCTATCCCCGGAGGGGGGGGCCTGGGGCGCGGGCTCCGTTCCCGCCCCGTGCCAGCACCCCACACACACTGCTGAGGGGGGCCCCTGCTCTGTGCGTCCCCCCAGGGCTGGCAGGCCGCGGCTGGTGACGGGGGTGGGGGGGCGCGTGTGGTCCGGGGTGACAGTCCCCACCCCCGTGCTGTTGGTGCTGCCGGAGGAGCGGGAGGCTGTGCGAAGGGATGGCTGGTGGGCTGTCCCTGGCGCTTTGCTCAGGAATTCACAAGCGTTTCCTTATGTTCTGTTGTTTCCACATCTAGCACATTCTTTAGGCTTGCCGCAAACTCCCTGTCCCTCAGCAGAGCACAGCAGAAAACGGGGGTGCCGCGGGCCCCACTGAGGCCCTCGGGGGCTCCTGGGGCCCCTCCCCTGGGTGGCCCTCGGAGCCCGGGAGAAGCAGGACAGACCACATGTCAGGCCTGGCAGGCAACAAGCCCCTGTGTCCAGTTTCGGGCCTCCACAGTGTGAGTGCAGGCGCCCTCCCGGCCCGGTCACTTGGCGGCGGGGAGGGCTCCCCCGTCCCAGGTAACCTTTCGTCCCGCCTTGGAGCTGGAGAGGTGGTCTGCTGTCTATCCGCTCCCCCCTGCCTGGAGGAAGGCGAGCAGCTCTGAGGAGGCCCCCGCCTCCTTGCAGCCGCTGTGTGACCCTGGGCAAGGCGCTTGCCTTCTCTGAGTGCTGGCCACCTCCTACTGCACAGCAGGACCGCGGCCGGCCTCGCAGACTCCCCCGGAGCCAGGCCGTCGTGGGGGGCTCCTTGCCAGGTGCTCGTGCCTTGGCCGCCCGCAGGAAGCGAGGGCCGTGCGCCGGCTGTCGTGGCTTTTCCGGGAACCACACCCCCGGCGTCAGGTCAGGCCGGGGGGGTCCTTCCTCTTTAACAGAACGAATGTCCCTCCTGACACCCCACACCAGCGGGGTGCGTGGGCGTTTTCTTGACCCGCTGTCAGGTCCTGCCCTGTTTCCCCTGGACAGCTGTCCTCGGGGGGGCGGGCGGCGAAAGCCCTCCAGGCCCGAGAGCCACGTAACAGGTCCACGTGGCGGCCACTGTGGACCCGGCTGGTGGGCCAGGGGCCTGGCTGGGGGCTCCCACCCTGGCACAGCCCTCCCCAACCCTTCTCACAGACCTGGGCGGGGGCAGGGCGGGCACTCACCGGACGCCTTCGTTGAGGCTGAACAGCTCCTGGTCAGGCAGCCCCTTGCGCTGGAAGACGGCGATCACCCCGTTGTGGATGCTGCGGGCGGGAGAGGGGCGCGCTGGGTCCGGACGCCCCGGGACCCCTCCCCGCTCCCCCAGACCTCCCTCCAGCCCACTCTCCTCGGAGGCCTCCCTGCCTGGCCGGCCGAGCAACAGGAAGGGCCCGTCAGAGGCAGGGCGCCGGGACAGCAGGGGTCCACCGTCCCCGCGGGACCCTCGGTTCCCACCCCGGCCCCCAGACCCTGCGCCCCCCGCCTCCCCTGTGCCCCAGGCACCTCCTGGTCACCTCCCTAGGACGTCCCTGTCCTCCGCGCACACGCCGCTTCCCTTCCCGCGCTCGCAAACCCCCCAGCCCAGGCCAGAGACTAGGGCCACCTGCTGACGGACGGCCTCACCGCATCCAAGCCCACTGGCTTTGCCACCCTGGGCGCCTCGGTGGCCCCGAGCCGGGCCCTGCAGCTCCCGCCTCTGAGCACCAGGCTGCCGGGAAAGCTGCCGGCAGGCCCTCCCACCCTCCTCCCCCTCCTCCCCCTCCTCCTGTCTGCTCCCTTCCTCCCTGCAGATCACACGCAGGTGGCCGTCCGCTTTGGCAGCCCCGGTCAGCCTGGATCGGCACGTGTACGAGTGAAGTGTGAGCTTAGCTGGTCTCCGCCATCTTCCCAAAGGGCGGGAGCGCGGGCCCTGTGCCGCTCACGGCCGCGTGACAGCCCCTGGCCCGCAGGGCAGCTTGGCGTGCACTTGGTCAAGTTCATCCTGACCCTCGCCCTCCAAACCCAGTCTCCGGCCCTGCCTCCTGGATCTCCGCGGCAGCCCTCCTCTGCCTTCCGGCCCAGGGCCCCTCCTCTCCGCCTGGACCTCTGATTACGCCCGCCGCCAGTCTCCCCACCACACCCACCGCCCAGCACAGAGCAAGGCCTGGGCATGGCATTCAAGGCTCCTCGGAAGCAACCCCTCCCCGAGTTGCTGGGCGCCCCGCACTCTAATCCCATCTTAGAATGCAGGGCCTGTCAGGGGTGCCACACCTTGGGGTCTCTGTACCCACTGCCCCTTCTGCCTGGAGGGTCCTCTCCTCGTCTCCTGGGCAAGCTGCTGGTCATATCAGAGCCTCCGCTCAGAGGCCACTGCCTCCAGGAAGCCCCCCTGATGCCCTCTCCATTCTGTGTAGATTTGTGTCCCAGTACTTTGCTGATTCACTTTCCTGTTAGTCCCTCCCACTGGCCACCCGCTCCCAAGGGTAACAACCAGGTCCCGCTGCCCTCTGCCCAGCACCGGGCTGCTGCTCCCTGAGGTTCACCACCTTGTGCTGGCTACATGACTCTCGGTATGCAGGGGGCAGCTGGACATGTGCTGCTGGTCACACCCCAGGGCAGGCAGTGGCCGGAGAGTGCCTGGTGCCCTTGTCGGCCTCCCCCAGCTCTGCCCTTCCCAGCAACAGGGGATTGGCCGCCCACTTCTCAGATGAGGAGACTGAGGCTCAGAGAGGCCCGTGCCCTTGGCGGGGGCGGGGGGGATGGTGGTGACGGGTGCAGGTCCAGGCAGGGGCAGGACCCCACGGCCCAGGGGCATGGAGGGTCTGGGCAGTGTGGGGACGTGCCCAGTGTCCACAGCCGGCCCCAGCTGAGCCAGAGGCTGTGACCAGACCGCACTCCTGTCCCCTGACCCAGGGGCCCGGCTCCTCTGGGGCCGACACTGGAACGCTGCTCATTCACGTGTCCAGGGACACGCACCTTCCACCCGGCTGCTGTCTGCCGGCCGGGGTCACGGCTGGGGTCACGTCCGCCTGCTACTGGTCCTTGGCGGGCTCGGCGCCCCACCGGCACTAAAAACAGATGAGAACTCGGCGGGAGGTCGGTGGCCACCAGGAAGCCAGCTGCCCTACGGCGGTGGCCGCCCCCGGAATCCCGATAGCTGGGGACTCGCTCTCCGCCTCATGGGGGCTGCTGGGGTGCCCAGCCCTGTCTGCCTGGGGTGGGGGGGTGGGAGGGGCGGGGCCTGGGACCTTGAGGCCTCGGCAAGCCCCCAGGCCTGGTCCTGCTGCTCTCGGGGACCCCCTCTCACCAGCCTCTCTGCGCCCTTCCTCTGCTCCCCTTAGACCCTCCGAGGGGCTCCAGCCCACTCTGGTCCCACCCCCCCACCGAGAGCTGGGGGCAGCCGGCCGTGCCCTGCGGGCTGTTTGTCACGGTGTGGGCCAGCCGGCCTGCCTCTCGGGAGGGGCGTGACCCCAGCGGCGGCAGCAGCAGCAGCAGCCGCCCAGGCTCAGCCATCTGCCCTGTGGTTTTCTCGATGTCTTCCTTCTAACCACAGCACGAGGTGGGGACTTCCATACCCAGGCCACAGAACAGTGAGGCTCCGAGAGGCCGGGGGGTGGCCCAGAGTCACACAGCGTTATCGCCAGCCCGGCTGGAGCCCCAGGCCCACGGCCCCCCACCCCCAGCCCCACCCGCTCCGCTCCGCCCCAATGTGGGGGTGGGGGTGGGGGTGGGGACAGGCAGGCCCAGCTCCTTCCCGTTTCTCTCCAGCTGAGGTTCCATGTTCTGCCCAAAGCCCGCGTTGGGTAAACAAGAGAACCTCGCTGCGAGCCCCTGGCGGGGAGAGGAAGGGCGGAGAAGGTGAAGGAAGGGCCTCATGTGACTTATCGCCCCCCCCACCCCCCAGAATAGAAGTGAAACCCCAGCTGTCCCAGCCCACGGCGGCCTAGACCAGAGCGGGGCAGGCCCAGCCAGGGGCGCAGGGCCACGGTCCCCCGGGAAACTGCAGGTGGCCTTCGGGGAGCCTCTGGGAGACACCCTGACCCATCACCCCGTCCTCTCATGGGGCAGCCCCTCCCCATCCACCCCCAGAGGAAGACAGGAGGCGGGGCCGAGTCCCGGCCTCTCCGGTCTAAGCACTGGGTGGGCTCTGGGCGGACATGCGGGACCCTCAGGGAGGCTCAGGGCACCCAGGAAGGAGCCGAGATCAGCCACTGAGGCTGGAGGGACAGGACAGGGCTGCCCAGGATTGCTGGGGTGGGGGGCGCTGTGGTGAGGCTGGGAGGGAGGGCTAACTGGGGAACTCGGGGGCACCTGCCAGTGGCCATCCTGGCCCGGGCTGGGGCTACCGCCGTGGGTCTGTGAGCGGCTGGGACACCGCATCGCCTCTCGGTGTCATGCTGGGTTAGCTCCATGGACACTCAGGGACCCCTGGAGGCAGAGCCCTGTCCTTCCTTCGGCCCCCACCCGCTCTGGACCGGGCCCCCGGGGCCTCTTCCGATATTCTCCTCATTGTCCGGTGCCCCCAGAGCGCCGACCAGGCCCCGGGCGGGGCTGGCGCTTCCTCAGGCCCCTCTGAGTAGTGCCGCAACCTGGATGCTCTCAGGACCTGACGCCCAGCCGGTGGCCCCAGGGAAGGACTGAATGGGTGGGCAGACGCCGCAGGCAGGGGTGCTGGGATCCCCTGGGTCCCCTCAGGATCTCCCTGATGCCACCTGAGCCGGTCAGTGCCCACCCTGGCTCCCGCCCACCTCAGGCTGCCTGGGCTCTACTCCTCTACCTACCCTGTCCACCCAAGGGTGACTGGAGCCCCAGTGTCCTCATCTGTACCCCAGGGGGTCACACCCAGCCCCCAGAAGTTAAGTGGCAGGACCACCGGCCTCTTCTTCGTGCCCAGGTGGAAGGCCCTGGGAGGCAGGCATCTCGGAACCCATCCCTACCCCCGTTTGGGCCCCAACCTGGCCCCCTGGAAAGCAGGGGTGAGGACAGACCCGAGGGCAGGTTTACCTGCTCCTCAGCAGACAGGCACCGCTCCTGCCCTGGCTTCAGCCCACCTGGCTTCAAACCCCCCACCCCAGTGTTCCCGGCTGGGCAGGAGGGGCCCCGCTGACACCCACCGCAGGCGAGGGCTCGGAGAATCTCCCAAAGGCTCACCGGCACAGGTAGCAGGCGCCCGCTGGGGCTCCGACCCCTCCACCTTGACAAGCTGCAGAGGGGGTGGCGGCTCACCCGCGTCTTCCCAGGGCCGCCCGGGGCCTCCTATTCCCACCCTCTGAGCTGCGTGCGCGCGCGTGTGTGTGTGTGGGGGGGGCAAGGCGTGTGGTGGGCGGGGTGCCCAGAGTGTGGCCGTCCTGTGCTGCTGGGCCAGAAGGCCACCAGCCTGCTGGCTTACGACGAGCCCCAGTTGTTTTCCCGGCGTCCCGAAGGCTGAGAAGTCCAGGTCTGAGCGGCAGGGCTGAAGCCGAGGCGTGGGTGGGTGGGCTGGCCCTTCGGCAGGGCCCAGGGCAGAGCCTCGGTGCCGGCCTCACCCGGCCTCGCCCGGCTGCCAGAGGCGCCTGCACTCCTGGGCTCTCGGGCCCTTCCCTCCGTCCCCAGCCCCCCCTTCCACCCTGGGTCTCCCCCTCACAGAGGCCCTGTGAGGACATCGGCTGCCCGGGTCATCTCCCCATCCAAAGGTCCTTGACTTCCTTGACTTAGTTGCCTCTGAACAGGCCCCTGTGCCTTGCAATACAATGGACTTTCAGGTTCTGGGGGATCAGGGTGTGGGCCTATTTGGGGGCTATTACTCTGCTGACCACAGGCGGACTGCCTCAGGGGGGTGGGGCTCCAGATCCGGGGCCTGGCCCTGAGTGAGGGAGGAGGTGGGGGTCCCCACAGGTCCCCCACCCCCCCCCGCCCCCGCCCCCGCCCCCGCCTCCGCCTCCAATCCCACTCGCAAGCAACTTAGTCACCTCGAAGGCTTCAACCAACCTCCTCCGGCCCCCCAGGGACCCTCGTGGTGGCGGAAGCACAGGCTTGGGAGCGAGCCTGGGGCGGTCCCTGGGACTCTCTGAGCCTCATCTGCGGGGTGGGGGTCGGGAGAAGCACCTGGAGTTATTTCCAGGATGAAAGGAGCTCCTCCCACCTGAGTTTGGCAGAGCGGCACCGTCCGGGGGACAGGGTGTCACGGCGTCACGGCTGCTCAGCGTTGCTGAGATCGGGGAGGGGAACAGTCTGAGGGGTTGGGCCAGGGCCCCTCCAGGGCCGGGGGCTGGGGGCCGGGGGCGGACTCCGGCTCATCCCCAAAGCCCACTTCGCCCTGGCAGTGGCTGCACGTGGACCTGGGCTCTGACCGCAGGCCCTGGAAGCGGAAGACCGTCGCCCAGCTTTGGAAGTGAGTTTGTGGGGAGAGTGACGAGTGTCACCGGCACCATGTGGAAGCACCCCCACCTGGCTCCTGCCTGGCTGGGCACCCAATGTCTCGGTGGAGTGGGCGCAGGCCGCTCCAAACCTCAAGCATCTGGGCAGATGCAGGCCTGGCCAGTAGGGTGCCAGAATACTGAGCGCCCTCTGACCCAAACGCAGGTGCAGGGGATCTGTGTCGGGGTCCGTGACCCACATCTCAGAACGTGACCTTCACGGAACTGGAGGTCCCATGCACCTTGAGGAGGGAGGGCATGAGGGACTCCAGGTGAGGCTAGCAGGTGAGCCTTCTGACTCTCCCCTGCACCCCAGCCTCTGCCACCCCAGCCCCTGCTGCCCTGCCCTGGGCCTGGCACAGGGGAGAAACCTGTCTGACCACGCGGCTCCTGATGGTTCCAGTCCACAGTTTGCAAGGGCAGCCCAGGAGGGGCCGGCCTGGCACCCACCCCTCACTCAAACATGCCCTGCACACCCACGGGACCCACGAGAACAGAATGCAGGCTGCCGGCCGCGTGCAGGCAGCACTCGGGTGCCCGAGTTCGTCTCCCCCCGGCACCGACGCCAGGGACCTGCGAGCCCCCGACTGGTTTGCTCGGGTCCCGTGTATCTCCCGACTCCAGGCTGGAAGCCCTGGGCGCCTGCCCACTCTTCGCTGACTCCGCACCCGGGAGTGAGTCAGTGAACGAATGAACGAACGAATGAATGGCCCAGTGAGTGCATGAATTCTATTTTTGCAAGAATAAGCTATGTGTTTTTGTTTTGTCTTTTGCCCATGCCCCACGTCCGGAGGAGGAAACCGAGGCACGGGGAATTTAGGGGGTGCCTGGGGTCACTGCAGTGAGTTGAACTGTGGCCCCTAGGAAGCCATGTCCGCCTGAGATCCCAGGTCTCACTTGGAAGCAGGGCCTTTGCAGGTGCCACCAGCTCAGGGCCTTCGGACGGCCACCCGGACCCGGGGCGGGCCCTAAGTCCAGCGGCCGGCATCTTTACGCGAGAGGAGAGGGGTGTGCGCCCAGAGACACGGAGGAGAGGCTGGGGGAAGACGGAGGCAGAGGCCAGAGTGACTAGGCCACCGGTCAAGGGCCCACTGGGAACTGGTAGAGGCGGGGGGGGGGGGGGGAGGGGACCCTCCGCCAGAGCTTCCGGCAGGAGCACGGCCCTGCCGACGACACCTTGATTCTGGACTTCCGGCTCTGGAGCCACGAGAGAAGGAACCCGTTGCCGAGAGTCACCCAGTCGTGCTGCTGGGCTGCGGTGGCCCCAGGACACCCGTGTGGCCACATGGGCAAAGGGCGGCTCACCTCAGGCTCAACTCAGCAAGGAGGGCCCATGCAGGCTGTCCCGGCACAGACAAGACTTGCCTGTGGGCCCGGCGGGGGCACCGCGAGGACCAGGAGGGGCCCCGGCCCCCACCGCAGGCACTCAGGGGCCTGGCTGAAGGCGCTTTGCTCCCTTTTTGGCTCAGACCGCCCTCGGCCCGGGGCGGGGGTGGGGGAGAGTGGGGCTCTGCGCCCCCTCTGCACCTCTGACCTGGGGGCGGGGGTGGTAGTAACCCCTCTCTCCCTGGGCTGCAGTGGTAGCGAAGTGAGCCAAGGACACGAAGGGGCCTGCCAGGAGAGCTGGCCCGTGGAGGAGCAGACCGGAGCCTGAGGGTGCAGGCTGTGGGGAGGGGTGCACCCCTCTGTGCGGACCCAGGCACAGCACAGAACTGGAGTTCCACGGCTCCCTTAAGGAAAAGGCGGCTGGGAGACCAGGCGGCCCCTCCTGGAAGACTCAGAGCAGGGCCTACAGTGCCCCCAACTCTGTTTGGGGGGACCCCTGGCAGGGCCGATCACAAAGAGTGCCGTTCACAAAGCAGCAGACTCCGAGGAGCGCCCCCAAACCCCACCCCTTCAGGTCCACCCTGACCTGAGTGCGGGCCTGAGTCGAGCTGCAGAGGACCCACTGCGTGCCAGGCGCTGCACCGAGGGCTTCACCACCCACCTTCACACCCAATCCCTGCACCAGCCCTGGCAGGAGGGAGGTACGCTTGTTAGCCCATTTTATGGGTAAGGAAACTGAGGACCAGAAAGGGTACACAGCAGGGAAGAGGCAAAGCGGGGATTCGAACTCGGACCGTTGGGCGCCTTCCACTAAACCGCAGCGGAGGAGGGAGAAGGAAGGCCGCTCCCCTCTCAGTCCTGCGGGAGGAGGGCACAGCCGTGAGGCAGTGTGGGGGAGTCCCCGGGGCCCTTCTCTCCCCGTCCCACGCGGGACCCCCGGGGAGGGGTGTGCATGCGCACAGACACACAGGGAGACTGGGCAGAAGCGTCCCAGCCCTCAAACAGCGCGCAACTTGGTAGGGGGCCGAAGACAAGCAGACGGATGGCAGTGTCTTGCTTGGTGCGCAGACGGGAGGGTCCCCGGCTGGCAGCCCCGTGCCCACCACGATGCTCGTGAAGTCTGGCCAAGACCACAGCCCGAGGAGCATCTGGCAAGACTTCACTGCCAGGTGTGTGTGGTGGGGGGACAGCATCCACAGCCCCCCTAAACAGCCTGCCTCACTCTCTGCCCCCTCCCCCTCCCCTCCCCTCCCCTCCCCTCCCCTCCCCTCCCCATTGCCTTTTGGTGGAAACATCTATTTTTGAAAAGGGCCAATGAGCAGACACGCTGGGGAATCCCACTAAATAAACCGTCTCTTTTCCGGATCCCAGCCCTGCTCTTCAAACAAAGCTTGGGGGGGGGGGGGCCTTCCCACGCCCCTGCCTGTCTGGGAACGGCCCCTGGAGGAGGGTCGGCTGAGGAATGCGGGGCAGCTGCTGCACCCTGCGGACAGCTGGGAGGACAGGGGGCCGCTGGAGGGGAAACCGCCCGCCCGCCCCCGACCTCAGTGCAGAGGCAGGAAGCGCGGCGGCAGCCTACCCACGGCGCCCGCGAGGCTCATCGGCTCATCTGCGAAATGGGAAAAATACTTCCTGCTGTATTATCTCCCAGGTTGCCATGAACACTGGATCGGAGACGTGGGAAGACCACGGGCGGGAGGCCGGCACGCGGCGCCGCCCACCCCGCCACCCACGAGCCAGGCGCTTCGGGACCAGCCCCAGGTCCGCGGTCTCGTCCCTCCGCTCTAGAAACACGTTGCACTAAACTTCCCTCCCAGCCCGTACAACTCCGGCGGAGCAAGTTCTTGCAAATAGTGAAGTGCCGCGGTACCCACGGCTCCATTCCTCTCAGGGGGTTCGCCCTCTACGGCAGACCGGCTCGAGGGCGCCCCCTCCTCCAGCTCTGGGGCTCTGGGGCCCCGGGCCCACAGGCGGGCCGAGAGGGTGCGGCCTTACCTGTTCCAGGTGGCGTTGGCGCAGGCCCGGCGCTGCTGCGTGCCCCGCTCGTCCGCGGAGGCGGCGGCCGGCTCTCTCTTGCCCAGGTCACTGAGGCTGGGCGAACTCATGAACTTCAACCTGCGGAGAGTCCTCATGGTGACCCCAGTGGCCCGCTCCGCGCCCACGCGCGCCCCGCGCCGCGCCCTGCGCCACGCCGCGCCGCGGGCCCCGGCCGGCACTGCGCGCTCTACGAGGAAACTTGGGAGAGAGCAGGAAGCGGAGCGGCGCTTCGGGGTCCCGCCCCGGCCCCAGGCCTCCGCCCCGGGCAGGGCGCGGGCCGGCCCTCCGGGTTAATCATTGCTCCGAGCGGCTGCAGCGTGGAGTGCCTGGAGCGCGGCGGGCAGCGCGGACCCGGCGCAAACAGAGGCCGGGGGCGTGGCCAGGGGCAGGGCTTGAGGCCGGGGGCGGAGCAGGGGAGGCCCCGACTGGAACTGGAAAGGGGGCGGGGCTGTGGGAAGCCGAGGCGGGGCCACCAGCTGGGGGCAAAGACGACGCCTCCGCCTTAAATCCCCTCGGTCAGCCTCGCGTTCGTCCAGCCAGACTCGCTGCCTTCTTCCAAAGGCCACACCTCGGAAGCCAACCCGCAGGGTGGGAACAGCCAACAACCCCCAGCGCCCGCCCCTGCGGACCCATCCACAGGATGCTCCGAGACTCCTGTTCCCCCACCCCCGAAATCCCCTCCTCTGCAGGGCCTCAACCAGAGTCACCCCCTCCTTCCCGTCCCTCCCCATCCCTCCCCACAAAGGCTGTGTTCACACAGATGCCTCCACATCCTGCCACCTGGACACAGACGTCTCCATGGTTCTCAGGAAAACAGAGCCAAAGCCGTCAGCCCCCTGGGGTGCCTCAGGCCCCGACCCCACCCACCCTGGCTACTCTGAACCGTGTCCTGCGGCTTGGGACAGGAGGAGTTGCCGGATTGGGGGGCTGGGGGGACCAGGAGTGGCCTCCCCAGCGCAGAGCCCTGCAAAGCTGTTGCTGCCCCTCCCACCCGGGGTCTCTGGGACCATAAAAACAAGTGGGCCCCCTAAGGCCCCGTGGCTGGCGAAGAGTGAGCCGTGGAAGGGATCCCCACGAAGGCCAGATTTGCTCGGCACTTGGAGAAGCTTGATTGCATGCCGTCTCCTCTAGGAGGTAGAAATTTCCCACTTTCCAGTCGGGGAAACTGAGGCTCAGAGAGGGAAGCAATTCGCCCAATGTAATGCAGTCAGCAAACGGTGAAGCTGGGCCTAACCACCCAGGCCTCCTGAGCACAGGGCACAGACCCGCCCCCTGCCCTGCCTTGCCCTGCCCTGTCCTGCCCCAGCTTCTGGGATTGCCACAGACTTCACCCCTGCCCTGCCCTTGACACTGCCATCAGGCAGCATGGCTGCCCTGGTGCCACCAGAGCCCCAGCCCCATGTCCTCCCATCAATGGTCCCTGTGGGAGTCAGTGAGGAGAGGGGGCTGATCCGAGACCCTCAGCCTGAGAAGGATGCCCCGGGAGCCCCCCTACACCAGTGTTGTACAGAAGAGGGAAACGGAGGCCCGGAGGCCACGGGTCCCCTATCCCAGAGGGTGCGCCTTGCAGTCCACCCTCGATGGTGGAGCCAAAGCGTCTGCTCCCTGGGAAAGAGGTTCCCTAACAGGGGGCGGGGTGTGGGGGGACACACGGGTGCCTAGGGCTGGCTCGGAGTGATGCACAGCGGGCGGCGATGTCATTCCCACTCAGAGACAGAAACCTGGACCCCAACGTGAAGGAGGCAGGGGGCGGGGTTTGCTGAGGCCCGGCTGGGCGGCTGAGCTGCTCTCGCGGCTCCAGGAGCGGGGACAGCTCCCACCTCGGCGCACAAGAGCTTCATCAGCAGACAGGGTCCAGTTCAAACCAACCAGCATTTCCCAAGCACCTACTGTGTGCCGGATGTTACCCTCGTCCTTAGGGAGCAGAGTCAGGGCCGACAGACCCCGTGACCCTGTGCGCAAAACTGAGGGTTGGACCCCTTCGCCTCCCAGAGCTGCCGTCCCCGAGGCTGGGACCCGTGTGACTTCGCAGGTCGCCCCGGCCTCACCTTCACCCTGTTCCCTCCCCCTTCAGAAACATCGATGGATGCTGCGCCCTCCACCTCCCCCGCCACCTCCCCAGGCAGAGTGGAGGGGTCTCTGGCCAGGATGACAGACGCCTCCTCCTGATGGCTCTCCCGGGGCCACTGCAAAGGTGCCTCCCCTTCCCTGACTCTCTGCACCCCGGGCTAGGCTCAGAGACCGCCGCCCTCCGTCACTTGGTGGCTTTTCCGTCCTCTGCCCTAAGCCCAAGCTGGGCACCCCCCACATCACCGCACCCCTACACAGTAGGCCCGCTGCAGTGTTTGGCGGAATGGCTGGAGGAACGCCTCTGCCAGGAAGAGGTGATCGGGCAGATGGGCGCCAATGCTTAGGGGACGGTGGGTAACTGCCCCTGGCGAGCCACGGCAGAGTGTACCGGGTGGGACAGGGTGGGAGAAGCTTTCTCTCGCTGCAGGCGGGCTCCGGGCAGGGGGCTGGCTTTGTTCACCAGGCACACTGGGGTGGGAGGGGCCGGCCGGTGGGAGGAGGCTGGACTGCTCAGATAAGAAACTCTGGGGATGGGGAGGCGGGGAGGAGAGGGAGAGGGGTGGTTGGAGGGCGCCTGGGTGGAGAGGGGGCTAGGGCTGCGGCAGGGTCTGGGAGAGGTGGCCGGCAGGGAACTCCAGGCGTGGGAATAGCCCTGGAAGTTAAAAGCCAGCCGCAGTCTATGGGAAGGGAATCAGCCGTGGCCCCAGCAGCCCTCACCCCACGGCCCAGGCCCAGCGGGGACTCAGGGGGAGGCGCCGCGGCGGCAGAGGGTGGGCTGGTGACGGGCGGAGGGGGACACGTAGGTGCTGGGGGTGGGTTGGCGGCCCAGGGGAGCAGCCCGCCGCCAGGGCCGTAGACTCTGAGGCAGAGGCCGGGAGGGGACAAAGCCATCACAACCCCGCGGAGCAGGGCTGATTGAGAACCTGGGTTTTGCACTGCCTGCAGCGTGGGGGGAACCCCACCCAGAACTGCGCGCAGCCAGGGTTCCACACGGAGAGACCGACATGCAAACCCTGATTTCTGGCTTACCCAGAAGCATCAGATGACCGGGCCTCCTGGGCCCGAGGCCTCACGTGACGGCTCTCACAGCGCCGCCGCCCCCGCACACAGGCAGGCCCCGCGCTCCCGGTGCCCACCAGGCCCACGCTCGCTTCCGGGACCTCCCAGGCCCAACCCGGGGCGGGGGGCTGAACAACTGTATTGAGGGGTGACTCTGGGTGGGGCTTGAGACTCCGGGAAGGGAAATGCTCTCTTTCAAAAGCAACAGGAGACTAGGGGGACCCATTCCTGGGCCCCAGAGCTGCCAGAGGGACCTGGTGGCACCGACCACATCCTCTCCTCCCCCGGGACCCTAAGTGTCCCCCCTCCCCGGGCAGCAAGATGTCAGGAGCTGGTGCAAAACCCCACTATCCCCTTTGGATGGGAGAGGGAGCCTTCAGCTGGGTGGCCAGAATGGGGGTCCACTTGGCCCTGACCCTGAGGACCTCAGTTTGCCTGCCTGTAAGATGGAGGGGGTCGACAGTGGGACCCCTCCCTCCCTCCCTCCCTCCCTTCCTCCCTCCCTTCCTCCCTCCCTCCCTCCCTCCCTCCCTCCCTCCCTCCCCAGAGCTGCTGCAGGGGAGTTGGAGAGGGGAGAACCCATAAAGCCCTTTAAAGGCTGTGCACCCCCGTAGACAGACGTGGCTGGGGGGGCGGTGACCTGGCGTCTCTGGTCCCTGTGTCTGCACCGAGGGGCTGGCCCAGGGGCTTCACGTCCACAGGAGCAGCGCTGGGGCCCGCAGGGCGGGCCTGGCCCCTGCTGGGCACCGGGGAGTCGGGATCTTTGGGGGCAGGGCCTGTGTGACGATGGCTGCTGAGCATCTGGGGCGGGGAGGGGGTCTGGGCCCCTGGGCTCAGCAACCCCTGAGCCTGGCACAGAGAGTCTGGTGCCCAGGGGCGGGCAGTGAGTCAGCGCAGCTCTGGAACCGGGACCGGGGACTCGGGTCCACCTGGCCCAGTCCACCAGCTCCGTGCCTCCAACCCGCATGTGAAGGGGGTCGGGGGAGTTCGTCTGTCCCCAAAGGGGCCGGGTGAGAGGCAGGGCAGAGGGCGGCCGGCCCCTGGAGTCCTTCTGCCGCACCTAGTCCACCCAAGGCTGGCAGGCAAGGGCAGCAGACAGAGAAACCGAGGCTCGGGAGGCCAACGTCAGAGTCAGCATGGGGCTGGAGCCAGGCCAGCGGAGCGGGAGAGAGGCAGTCCCCAGCTGTGCCACTCCTGCCGGCTGGCCAGACTCCTGCCCCCTGGTGGGGAGGCCTGGCGTGGCATTCTCTTCCCCCGGCTGACTGGGCAAGTCCCTCCCACTGGCCGGGGATGCCTGGGTCGGGGGACACCCAGGGAGGGGCTTACCAGCGTGCTAGGCACGGGGAGCCATCTCACTCCTATTCTGGGGTGGACAGGGAAGGGTTCACACCTGTCCCAGGAGGGGTGAGACCATTCGTGTCGCCATGGTGCACACCAGCTGTCACGCTACTGAGGACAGCTCGTGTCTTCCCGGGACCCAGCACAGAGCGGCCCTGAGTCAAGGGCAGCTGCAGTTTCTTCACTTTCATCAGCATCGTGGACCGAGGCAGCGCGGGCGGAGTGAGGGGGCGGGTGGACGCTAGGCCATGGCCGCCCGGGTGCCCGCCCCTCCCAGCCTCCTGCCCAGGGACGCCACCCCGCAGCCCGCACACTGAGCTGGACACAGAAACGGCGACCTGCCTGCGGGGCTGAGTCCCGGGCACTGCCCACTGCTCTCCTGCTGTGGGTGGCGCTGGGTCCCCAAAGGCGTGCTGAGGTCCCGGCCCGCGTGCCTGTGACCTCGGCCTTATTTGGACACAGGTGTGATCGGGCTGAGAGGAGATTGCACCGGAGAAGGCTGGGCCCCGGACCCTGTGCCCAGCGCCCGGATGCGAAGGCCGGGTGGAGACACAGAGGGGAGGTGGCCGTGGGGGCAGAGAGGCAGGGACCAGACGGGTGCAGACAGGTGGCCGCCAGCAGCTGGAGGGGATAGGGAGCACGAACCCCTGACCCCGTGGCCTCAGACTCCAGCCTCCAAGACTGGAAGAAACGCGTTTCTGTCTCCAGCCGCCCGGTTCATGCTGCTTTAGGCAGCGCTGGCTTTCCCACTCCCCCACCCTGGCTCTGGCGGCGGCGCCCAGGCCACCCCGCGCGAGTGCCAAACGGCCAGCCCCAGTGCTCGCAGACCCCTCTCCCCTTGGCTGGTCTCTCTGGTCAGAACGCGCGGGTCCAGGAGTCCTGCC